AAAACAGAAGAAGACAGTTCTTACGTTTCTTCTATAGTTTTAAAAAAAATTTGTTACTTATTCACTATGCAGGCGCAGGCGTAACTCGGACATTTCTATGACTTTCTTCATCAGCATTGGACAGATTTCTGTAGCCAACATTTGGCATATCTGGTCGATAGAAAATATTTCGAATTCGATAATTTGTGGTCAAATAATAAACAAATATTGCAAAGAATACGGCAGTTAGAACCACAAACAACGATAGCATTAGCTTTGTAAAACGTAAACGATTTGGACAAAGCATTTGCGATGTTAAGCTTAGCAGTTGCTTATCTTTAAGATACTGTGGCGATTGACATCTGAAATTAATTTTACTAAAAAAAATTTAAAGTCATTGAAGTTACGATCATACCGATCAAAAAAGAAGTTCTTTTTAATCAGAAAGGTTGTTTAAAACAAAAATTGCGAAAAAGTGTTAGCAGTAATGTATTAGCAGTGACAAACTTTGGTCCTTTAATAACTTCAAGGTCTAGTTCCAACATCCATGCCGTGTCGCAGGTACAATTCCATGGAGTGCTACTAAAAGCCAGTCCTATCAAATTTGATGAATCGAATAGGTTTCCTGACAGTGTTGACATTTTGGTCTGTTGTAAGTCGAGGTACTCCAACTTTGGTAAAACTGCATCTTTATGTCCATAACCAAAGGCTTTGTCGCTTATGTCGTACAACTGAATACAGCCATGTAAATCCAATTCCTGCAAAAATAAAAAGAAAAAAATAATAAAAAGAGCAGTTTAAAGCTTCTCATTGCTTACTAAGTGCATAATTAAAATAAATTCAAGAATAAGTGTAAAAGAAATAACTGGTTACCAGTTATGATTAGTTTAACGACATCGGTATCTAAAAAAGGTGAAACTTTAAACAGAGCTATTAAAACCTTCAGATTTTTAAGACCACAAAATCCGCAATCGTCGACAAATTCAAGATATTGGCAGTCAACGCAGAATAAACTCTGCAAATTTGTATCATATAAAAATGAATCTTGATCTATTTCGGTGATATCAGTCTTGCTCAAATCCAATGACAGCAAACTTGGTATCTTGTGAAGTGCCGTTGGAAGAGTGATAAAGAAATTATTGGCAAGGCTCAACACTTCCAAACTTCTGCAATTAGTTTCCTTTAATAATGTTTAAAAATTAGACTAAACAACGTCAAAATATTGTAATATTTGTTAAGTACAAAATAAAAATGATCAATTTAGAGAAATAAGAAACGATAAAGTGTACGCATCAAAAAATACACTTTCAACTGCTATTTATAAGCTTTTTTTGACTTTATAAACCTCCTTTCTAACTAAGTATATAATTGATTATTCGTATAAATCACAAAAAAAGCTTTAAAAAAATTAATTAATTAAAAAAATTAAATTCAAGAATTAATTTGAACACCATTATTTTTTTTTTGTTGTGAAAAAATCTTGAAGATATTTGACG